AGAAAAGAGCAATATTGTGTGGATCAAACAAGGAATGTGATTGTTCTGTGGTATCCTGCAAGTAAGAACATGGCTCAGAAAACCAAAATTGGCTGTAATGAAGGGGCAGTGAAATGGTTATCTTGCATTATTATGTTATTATCCAAAAGAAGAGGTTCTGGCAGGATAATTTGTCTCTGGCCCCCAAAAGCCTTTACCAGTCTTGTCTTTTGCGTACATTGACATTGTGCGTGAGATTCCTGTGACTATTCTGTTTATCAGAACAATAATACTGGTGTCTTCCTGACCCATATGTGATTTCTTTGCACTCTGTTCTCCGCCTTCCCCTCCCTAGGAGTAGGTCTCCAATCTACAGGCATTTGAAACTCCCATTTCAAGCCTGTTGGACATATTTTTTCTGTTCCTCTTCCACAAATTTGAAAAAAAAGGGTGAGGAGGGAAGAAGCAACCCACAATGGAACGATGTGTGTGATTTCAAATATGCCTCCCAAAAGCCATCCTGAATTGCCAACTACCAATATAATTGCAACAATTCCAAGCCATCCCTCACAGGCAATGGGTCTTCATGTTCAAAGAAGTCCTCCAGAATGCTTCCCCAGAACAGTCCAACTGGAAATAAATCTTCGCCCTTGTGGGCTGCAGCACTGATGTAAGGGCTTCAGGGCAATCTCATTTCTCCATGGGAAACTACTTGATAGAGCCAAGCTGTATGTGAATTTCTTGGTGTTCCTTTTCTTTTGCGGTTTGCTGAGTTCTTGGCATGGAACTGAATCACGATGTCCAGCTTGTGCATTGGCCTCTGCTGGATGATGGGGGGGGGGGGGGGGAGATCAGGAGGTTCTCAGTTATGCTGACTGTTACCATGAAAACCATTGTGAGATTTGAGGACATTGGACAAAGTGGCCACCAAGAAGCCTCTACTTTGTGCCTAGCAGATTGGTAGATGTACATGAACAACAGCACTAGAAGCCATCCTGGCTGGATGGAAACATGTTTGCAATGTGTCCCCATGCCCCAGAGTGATAGTCTTTGGATAGTATTGCCATGCAACTTGTAAAGTGCCAACGACCTGCATATGGGCTTTTTTAGTGTCTCTGGTTGCTTCATTGGAAGCAGAATTGTATCTGAAATAAGTACACATGGTGAAATAAAGGGAAATATGTACAACTGCATTATCCATACTTTATATGTGACTTACAAAACTAGGCTGCCCAATTGTTCTATTTATTGTCAATTTTTGTTTTGTTTTTTAAATTAAACAATAGATTTTTGGGGGGAAAAGCAGATAAACACACACAATTAAATGCAGATAATTCTGAAATATGCTATATTCTAGAAGGAAATCTTATGTGCAGGCACTGTTGGGGTGGGTGTGGGTGGGTGTGTTTGTGTGTGGGTGTGTTTGTGTGTGCCTGTCGGTCAGTGCATGTGAGTCTATTGTCTGCAGACAATCGAGAGTTGTACTTGCTGAAAGCTCTTGGATCACGTTCTCTCCAGAATTTGTTCTCCATCCAATAAAGATGGAATAGTCCAAGAATTATTCCCCTCCCCTTTGGGCTCTGCACACATGCCATTATTCTCCCTCTGTGACAATTCTTTCACAGACATCCATGGTGCGCTTTCTCCTCTCCTGGCAACAGCGAAGGAGGGAAAAAGACAAAAAGCTCTCTGGAAAAAAAAAGTTGGCAGATGGCAGGCAAACCCCCTCTCCAGCCATTGTTCTTTTCAGCCTCTGCTGCCAAATCTAGGAGAAAAGGCATGTGGCTTCACAGTCAGATGGAGTCTTCTGTAAATGCTCTTGTACAATTAATGGCTTAGAAGGCATGACAAATTAAAAAGGGCCATAAACAGGGGAATGAATTTGGAAAATGTCAATGTAATGGTTGCCAGATTGGGACTTTATAGAGTCACTGGGAAATAAATCTCCCCCCTCCCCCCAAACCCCCCCCCCAGCTGAAGCTTAAGTACAAAAGTATGCTTTATAGGGAGTGTCACATAGCCATTGAATAGCCTTGCATCCCATTGTATGCAGGAGGAGCCTTCAGTCTGTGCAGCAACGGTGCCTTCAAGCAACTCTAAGCGCAGGGATCATCTATCGCTTTTTTCATTTACTCACGTGATTTGCACGAGCACTAAAATGCATTGGTGGGAGAAGTGGGATCACGACCATAACTCCACTTTTTAGTTACAGGAATAGTCAATGTACAAATATTTTGATCAGTGAATAAACAAGCATGCTCCGTGCTTACATCACCATCTGTAGCAATGTTTATATCCAGAAAGCATTTTCTCCGTCATCTGGAATCCTGGAAAAACAGAGCTACTGATTCCACTGCATAAATAATTACATATATTTGTTTTACTTGGAATGTGTGTATTTCCACATCACCATGAACATGTGAGCGTTACACTCTCTTCCCCCTCCCAGAAGGTTCCACATTGCAGGCAATACTTCCCCCCCCCACCAGTCTATTATTTATTTATATCCCATCTTTATTACCTTTACAAATAACTCAAGGTGGCAAACATATATAATATATCTTCCTCCTCCTATTTTCTCACAACAAAAAAATATGTGTGGTGGTTTGAGTGGAAAAGAGTAACTAGCCCAAAGTCAACCCATATGACTTTCATGGATAAGGAAGGACTTGAACTCACTGCTTTCCAGCCTGGTGAACTAGAGCAAATTGGCTCTCATGGACCAGTTTTCCATACTCAACAGTCTGTTGATTGTGAACAGGGGGCAGAAATGGTGCTTATTGTATAAAATTAAAAAATCCTGAAGTTAGTCCAGGGTCTAATCATTATCATTATGATTAAGTCATTTATTTAATACCAAACTGGTAATTGGTGAAGTTTGAATTAAAGTTTGCCCAGTCGATTACTTACCATAATAAATATCTTAAGCTAAGGATGGATAACTCTTTCAGTTTTGATTTTGTGCATATCCTCATTTCCTTACCCTTAAGTTCATTTCCTTGCCTTGCCATTTTAAAAAATATTATTATTTTATAGCATCTATACATTTTTTCCTAACAAATGTCTTTTTGTGTGCCGTTTAATCAACATTTTGTACTTAATTTTTAAAATTATCAGTTGTAGATAAGTTTTTGGTTGAGCAACTGCATCAGAAAATGGAGAAACCCGCAGACTTAAAAGTGCAGGTGATAGTTTGCCCTGAAACTGCAAATTAAGTAATTCGTTCATTTCCTATTCTTATTTTATCACTGTACTGCATCAGAAAATTACACAATGTGTGTAATTCTGGTTCCAAGAATAACATATTGGGAAGCCAATGTGTTACCAAATAGAAGCTCAATCATGTATAAGTACACCACATTATTATTATTCTTTCATGAAGCCCTTCATTGGCATATAATGTGTGTCAGATTTTAATTGGGAGGAATAAGAGTTAAAACTTCACTTACTGCCAACTATCCAGGATCCATTCTCTACTGAACCAATGTGAAACAGTTTACAGTTTGTCAAACAGAAGCATAGTATGACAGATTCTTTGCACGTTGAATGTTATATGTTCTGGAACTGATAACAAAAGCAAAAGCAGCAAGAAGCAAGTCATAATGATTGATGGCTAACAATCCAAGGAGCTAGAGGAAGCAGGGAGACAAACTCTCAGTATGGCACGTTGATTTCCCATCTGTTCCCCCCCTGCAGATTTTCCCCTTCTTTAAAAAGAATAAAGTTAAATGTGACCAATACGTTAAAATAAGACTGTAAATATGCCTATTCAGAATTTATTTTCACCCAACTGAGCAGGACATTAGATAAAATGTGTGTAAGTCAGATCATTAGTAAAAACTGTAATGTTCTTTCCATTGTTGGAGAGTGTTTGCCTACCCATGGCAAAGTCGGAACGAGTCTTGGGAGTTTTCTGATTAACCAAATGTATTAAAAGAGTTTAGCTTTCATGCAACATCAGATAAAGTTGTGTCTGATGAACTGCGTCACAGCTTATTAAACGTATACCGGTGTTTTTCAAACTTGGTAAATAAGATGTGTGGATTCCAACTCCCAGAATTCCCCAGCCAGTCAAGGTGCTCCCAGACGCCTTCTTATTTGACTCTCTGTATGTCCTTTCCTTTCTAGAGTGTTTTGGAAATTACTCCCCCTTAAAGCCATGTGTGGAGCAGCCATCCCAAGTCTGACATTCACCAGGAATCTTAGGACTTAGGAGAATTCCTAGAATTCTCAGACAGCATCACCCAAAGTCATGCAGGAATTGTGAGAATTGCAGTTTCCCTGCATACAGAGGATATTAGACAGGGGTGGTATTCATTTATTTTCCCTATTGGTTTGCAAATGTGAGTGCCCCATCCACAAATGTGCTCGGCCTTCCGCGCAGGTGCTTTGATTGCACGTGCGGCTTGCACGCATGTGCACGGCTTGAAAAAGTGCCAAAAAAAGACAGGGCACGTGGGTGGCCACCTGTGATTTCCACTACAGGTTCAGCTGAGCCCGTCTGAACTGACTGAATAGCACCTCTGATACTACATTGGGGAAGGTGGGGTAAAGTAGCAACAATTAACCTACTGTCCAATGTGCTTGCTATAAAAAAATGGAAATATACTAATAGTCTATAAATTATATGGACTATATGTCATATTTTGTACATTTTGAAGTAGCCTACTTTAGCATAGGAAATTGCAGCAGAATTAGCACAACATTTCTTTGCCAGAGTGGACCTAAAGTTGATCTTCTTTAAGTAACTAAACTTAAAATTAAATTAAAGGATTCCATTTATTTTATAGGCCTCAAGCTGTATCCTTCATCTTTTACTTTTACTCTAAGCCAAAAGGTTTTATATTTCTTATTTCTTAATATTTCATCCTCCTGGCACATCTCCTTAAATCCATCTCTTTTCCTTGCATCTTCTTTCTTTAAGAACATGCATCCAACTCAGTAATTTGTTTATCCATAGATTTATGATTTTCTTCTCTCTGTGTGTCCTTCTCTTTTCCCTATCCCCATCTCCTACATAGCTAAAGAAAGTTCCCTGGGAGAGACTGAACTACAGCCAGGATCTGATTCTGCTGGAATGGATAGTAGTTACCTCAGCGTGAAAGAGACCAGTGTGAAGACGTCCCAAGAGAGGGCAAGTAATGATCTTCCCAGCCCAATGGACAAGACTGATTCAGAGAGCAACAAGGGCAAGAAGAGACGGAACCGCACCACCTTCACCAGCTACCAGTTGGAAGAGCTGGAAAAGGTCTTTCAGAAGACCCATTATCCAGATGTCTATGCCAGAGAGCAATTAGCCATGAGGACGGATCTCACTGAAGCCCGAGTACAGGTAAGGGCAGAAACTGTAGGTCATAGGAGAAAGGAAATTAGCAAGTCCACGTTGCAGTCATGTCTACAACTACAATAGTAAGCAATATCCTTAGACTGGGATAAAATGTACAGTGCTCTACAATACACATTGTACAATAACAACTCCTGTGTTTAGTTTAGAAACCTGCCAAAATGGCTTCACAAGCATCTTCAGTCAGCACCAAAGTGAGGCAATGAAAATAGGTGGTCCATTGTGTTGAAAATCTTTAAGGAGTCTTTTAAAATGGAAAGCTTAAATTTTTGTTTCCTGGTGCAAAGGAGCAGTGAAAACTATTCTATCTCTGAGTATGAATTTGATGAGAACCAAAATTTATATATGGAGTACAGAATAGAATAGAATAGCAGAGTTGGAAGGGACCTTGGAAGTCTTCTAGTCCAACCCATGCTTAGGCAGGAAACCCTACACCAGTTCAGACAAATGGCTGTCCCAACATCTTCTTAAAAACTTCTGGTGTTGAAGCATTCATAATTTCAGGAGACAAGTTGTTCCACTGATTAAATGTTCTAAGGAAATTTCTTAGTTCCAAGTTGCTTCTCTCCTTAATTAGTTTCCAAGCAATTTTTTCAGCTTAAAAAAATCCCTATTAATTAGTTATTTAGTAATTCATTAGTTTTAATTTAGTATTTATTTATTTATTAAATTTGTTTGACACCCATCTTGCTGTGACTACAAATTGAATGCTTAATTCAAGAAGGCAGGTTTCTGTGTTCAATCTCTAGCATTCAACAATGGCAGACATTATATACAACTCTTGGTACACTCATTATTCACAATTGTTCAGAGAAGCTCAGTGCTGTAGCAGATACTTTGAAAGTACAAATAGTCCTTGCTTAACAACCATTTGTTCAGTTTTCACTCAAAGCGACAATGGTGCTGAATGAGGAGACAATTTAGTTTACTTTATTGTCATTGAGCCTCATACAACAAAATTAGATGCCATCTTCAGTGTACATCTTCAATACTTATAGATGCTCCTCAAATTTATAGTCATTGCAGCAGCCCTGCAGTCACGTGACGTGATTCAGACACTTGGCAACCGACTTGAAGTTACAATGGTCACAGCATCTTGCAGTCACATGATTACCATTTTCAATCTTCTGTAAAGCAAAGTCAATGGGGAAGCCAGCAGGAGGTCAGAAATGGGCAATCACATGACCTCTCGAACAATACCAACGGAGCTGCCATCATAAGTAGATCCGGTCATGTGACATCACACTTTATAACTAAATTGCTTAGTGACAGAGTTCCCAGTCCCAGTTACTTCTGTTTATCAAGGGCTACTTATAGATGTTCAACTGTCAATTCTCAGCATCTCTTGTAAGAGTTGCTTTGAGCAGTCATTAAATGAATGGTTATAAGTCAAGGACTATCTGTATAACATATAACAATGCGATAGATAGATGATAGATAGATAGATAGATAGATAGATAGATAGATAGATAGATAGATAGATGATAGATCGATCGATAGATAGATAGATAGATAGATAGATAGATAGATAGATAGATAGATAGATAGATAAATTATACATTATACATACATATATACATACATAAAATGAAGTAATAAATTGTTGCAAAAACAATAACAATGCTAACCAATCATTCTAACATTTACCAGAAAAGCTTCCTTTCAACCAATTACCAGAATGTCCTCAGGCTGGGTTTAAGTTTAAGCTGGAAGCAACTTCATCAATAAAAAGCTCTCTCAAAAACTCCTTTTGCAGGCTTTAGATCTTCCCACAACATAGGAATTGGGAAACCAATGCTATTTATTTATTTATTTATTTATTTATTTATTTATTTATTTATTTATTTATTTATTTATTT